ATCTTTTTGTGATTATGCTAAAAGTTGATCTGATGTCTTGAAAGAACTCTTAAATGGTTACTGCTTCCTCAAATAAAAGCTACTTCACATGTGCTACTTCCTTAAAAATATGCTGAATGGAGTTACTTCTAAGTGTCTGATTTGTACTTCTCACTGCCCTTTTGAGACACTTGGAAAGGACAGGGCTGAGAAAGAGGAAATTAATAGATCAGGAAATAATCTATAATAAATCACAATGAAGGCAATGTAGTATTTTTTTCTTGTTGCTGCTATCATTAGACTGGGTGTAGGAAAGCAGAATTCATCAAACTTTACAAACACAATGCAGAGTCCTCCAAATCATAAAGTAACATTCAATTTGGTTTATTTGCATGAAATGAATATCTTTAGCTGTCTTTGCTTTGCCCCTCCTCTCTTGAAGTAATGGATGTTTGAAGCTGAGGTCCAGATACCTCAACCAACTTTAATAATCCCTCTTTAGTTCCAGAAGAAAGGAAATGGTTTGCAATATCCTGAAGTCCACTAGACCCACTGATTATTTATTTCCCTTGTATCTTCCATCTCTGTATATGAGATGTGGTGTAAGAGCAGTGCTGTACCCATGTTAACAGGCCCTGCTGAAAGGAAGGGTATAATAGCTCAGATGTCAACTAGCCACTTTAGGACAAAGACCGAGTTCTCATCTGCCTCACTCAACCAGATATGTTGGTTTCAGATACTGCTTCAGATCACTTTGGCTTAGAAAGCTTAGATCAGTCCACCAAGAAACAGAAACAACATCATAGGCAGAGATGACCAGCTGTACATAAACAACGGGCATTGCATTACAAATAATCCTCATAATTAATGGGTAATGCAGATTTTTATTTGTTTGTTCAGTGAAAAAGCACATTATGGACATATAAGTACTTTCTAAGAAAAAGAGTAAGACTGAGAAATATCGTTGATGCTCCTCTATCAACTGATAGTACAGGAATGTTCACATACAAGTCCAGTCCCATGCACTGCATAAATTGATATAGGATTGAGCTCATGTTGAGTCATATCATCAATAAACGTGCCATACTATTTTTGTTTTTGTCACCCCCCACCTGAATACAGACCAACAGTAGCTGAGAAAAGCAGTGTGAACCACTGCTTAAAATTCTCCCACCAAACCAAGAGAGTCAATGTGATTTCCATGTCTTTGCTGAAATTCATTCCCTCTCTGGATACTGCCAAACCAGCCTAACCAGGGATGACTCATCTGCAGGGCCTCATAAAGTACTTCTGAACGGCTTGAGTTTTGCCTTTGGAATGCACTGGATTACACTAAGAGTTTGTGATGCTCCAGTGTGGGGGAAGAGGACATCCCTGACTCTTCCCTACAAGGACATTCCCATTCTGCACTCTGCAGTTATTAACGGCACGCTCACTTTATTCCTCACTACCTAAAGAGAGCATTGAGCATTCATTCCTTTGGCAAATGATATCACCCTTCCACTGTGATTTTGCTTCTAAGCCCTTTTTTGCTTGCATAAGAAAACAAATGGACAAATTGCCAGATCCCTCATTCTTCCTTGTTTTTGCATTTCTAACCTTGTGGTAAAGAGATGTATGATGAGCTATAAAGGAAAAAATCTGTGGGAGTCACAGCTAAAATAGTGTTAGCATCATCACTGTGTAAAGTAGAAATATAAAAACCCAAAGAAAGGCAAAAATAAGTAGAAGAAATATTCCACAGGAGGAGAGAGTAGAAGCCAGTAGGAGTGTTTTGTTCAGAAAGGATTTGATAGATCACATGGCAGTTCACACGATTTAATGAGTAAACAAGTCCACTTGGCTGACAGTAATTTTTCCCTTAATGCATATTAACTAAAATTGAACCCAGTATTTGTAGCACAACATATAGTAGAGCTATGAATTTTACTACCACCTACACTGTATTAATGAGCCAACAACCTAATATGACTATAAATTGGGCACAAATTTCATAATAGTAAGATCATTAGTGACAGCAGCTAAGATAAACATTTACAGAATACATCATCCCTCACATTTGAGGACTGAAATCACATGTTTTGCTGATTGGAGTTAGGAAAAAACATCATCGCTGGTATATATATATCTTTGCATCATTGTCTGCCGTGGCTGAGAGACAACTTTAGTTGAAGCCCCTGGGTTCTGGCAACTTTCAGCAAAGGCACTGGGAAAGCCTGTTGTTCTGATTATGACAATTTCAATGATCCTACATAAGATTACAAAAAGTCATAGAAAGAGGCAAAGAAAATTAAGAAATTCCTTGGTAATCATCTTACTTAAATCTATATAATACACCAGGAAAAGACAGAAAAACTAGCTTCAAGAACGTACCAAATGTGTACAAGAGGTATCTGAAGTTCTACCTGCTGAAGTTCAGACAGTTCTTTAGCTGTCCAGAGATGCTTGACATATCTATTTCTGTTGACATTATCAGAACTCCTGAGGTGGAATTTCTTAGAAGTTACTCAGAAATAGCTTCATAAACCTATTTATTGATTTGGCTTCTCAGAAGTGGCTTGCATGAGCTCCTCAACACTCACATCTGAAATGAGTTTCTACTTGCTTATATCTTGCTCTGTGAGCCCAAAAATTGAAACACAAAAGGTATATTAGTCAGCACCATACAGTATTTATTAAGACCAATTTTTATAGAAAGTCTTTGGAAAGGAAAATAGAGGTCTATTGGGAAAATACACTCGAAGTACCTGTGTTTGTCATATCTGGGCAACCTAGCTGTAATGATAAGGTGTGTGTTCATCTCTTGCTGCTGGGAAGGACTGTTATAATGTCATATATTGCAGAAGAAAAAATGGGCCTGTCTCACAGAAGACCTAGAGAAATGACTGAATCAGGACTGAATAAGGGAATGTTTCTCTTGCAAAATGGTAATATAAATGATATAGGGCTGACTAATAATACAGTTGGTTTCCACTAACTAACAGAATAACATGATCATCTACAGAACTGAATTCCAGACTCTGAGCTAAGATAATTTTTTTTTTCTTATTTTCCATCTGAGTCAGTTAGAACAAAACCTGTGTTCAAGAGATCAAGTCTCCTGTTTTTTGCTTCCCCATTTAATCTCATGTGGGTATTCCCATCTGATCAGAGATGCAGAAGATAACACATCAGAAGCCCCATAATGGTGGTTCAAACATGGTTCCAACTCATAATGGACATAAAATGCAAATTATTTGTGGACAGTTTGACAAAGAAAATAAATATTTCTTCTAGACAGAAGAACTGATTTAACTGAAGGATGATGAACCCAGGATGCATGTGAAAGCACAGAGCCACACGTGTCTCTGAACTCACAGGTTTTAATGTTCCAGTTCTAAAAAAGGGGGACATCCAGCTTAATGGGAGAATTAGACAGAAGTTCTGCCAGTGCAAACCTCTGGTCACCACTTTGTCCTATGTGTGTTTTTCTAATGGAGAGTATAGACTGTCTCAATGCTTTCAGTTTAGTGAGTCATATCTCCCCTGTTTAAGTGTACGTACTTTTAAAACTAGATAGATTTTTTAATTAACAGAGCACATTGTTATGTCTGCAATCAATGTTCCCTTTGTATACTCAAGGGCTACCCTGAATCTGTTATTACCTTGCAAAGTCAATCTGGTTTAAGGATTATTCTTCCTGAAAATGCAATGGGCATTCTCTTCTCTTGAATATTTTGTTTAAAACATTAAGCTGCTTGTACATTCTAGAAGAATTTGAACGTGGGATCTGAGCTAAGATCTTAAGCAGTCTGAAAGAACACATCAGTCTGCTGAATATGATATCCAGAAAAATACAAGTTCTCATTTCAAAGGTAATACACACACACACACACACACACACACACACATATATATGTATATAAAACTGTATGGCATATTTGCTGTGCAGGCCTAGACTCCTTGTGAAGTTGTTTTTCAGTATAGCAAATTAGAAAAATATGCCCAGACTTAAAGGTTACTTAATCGGGTTGAAGCAGTAACTTCAGTTCCAGCAACTCCCTCCCACTATGTTACATCTGATAATGTACCCAAGTCCAAACATAAACTTAGTTCAAAAAGATGTTTGGTCCTTGAATGTAAAATGACACCTAGCTTACACAATTAGCCAGGTAATACATATCCTTCCAAGAGAAGCGATTTCTACCACAGAATAATCTGCATTTTACTAATCTCTGATTGTTAAATTTTACTTGCTGAAACTTTTCCATATGGCTTTTTGAATACCACTGTCCTGTATTTAATTACCACAGAAGGATATTAATGAAGAGGTTGGAAATTTGGCCCAAGCCCTGTTCCACACTTTGGACAGTTTGATGGAGATAGAGCCAATGAACAGAACATTTCTGTCAAGAAGTGGCTGTGCCATTTCACACACAAAACCAGTGGCAAAAGAGGAGTAAACAGACCTATAGAAATAAAACACCCACCATTTTCTGAATTGTCCATAAACTTCTAAAATAGTGTGATCATAAAGTAGCATTGTGTGAAGTGGAACACTGGTTTGCTAACTGAAGGGAAGTCAAACAGGAATTGCTGGAGTAGTCCTTCCTTGTAATCGAGACTGTTTTTATCAAGCTGTAAGTTAAGACGCATGCCCAGAAATGCAAAGCGTACTTTCCAATTTTCAAGGCAGCTTGGAGTGCAGAGGATGCAAGGAAGCTAACGTGGGTGGGAAAGCATATGTTGCTGCCTCGATGAGGAAGTGGTACACCACAGTTACTTCATAAGTGCAAGGGCTTTATAAACTAAATCTCCCAGGGACTGTTTTAAATAGACAAAGAATGACATGCAGCCCTGACAGGCTTTCAGTATTGTTTCAGAAGGCTGGATGCCTTCTAAAAACATTGCACTGCCACTTGTACTTCTTCCAAAAAATGCCTATTTTTAACCTCAGCCTCTTCATATAAACAGTGGGCAGATGCACCATGTAGTAAACTCTGTTCTGTCTAGCATGAAATTAATGGCTTCCTCAGTCTTACCTGACAATGGAAAACATATTCCGGTGTGGTTTTCTTGAACTTCATGTTCCATACCAAGGCTACCCCATCAGGCTCATGTGGAGCATCTTCATTATTGTTGTAAGATGCAACCATCAACTCAGGGTACTAGAAACAAAAAGCAAAAGCAAATGGAATAAGATGGATGATGATGAACCTATGCAAAATCAGATGAGACAGAAATAATCTCACACTAAATGTGCAATATCTGGTTTTAATTATAATACACGCTAGTCCAATTATAGTATTCAGCTTCATTTTGGTTTTATATTTTACTCGTCCCTGACATCCTTAAAGCCTTTGCTCCTTGCTCTCTATCAGTTATTCCCAGATACCACACAGGCAGTGTTATTTGCTGCAGCTAATGCTCAGAAAAGACAACTAGCAGGATATTTATAAAGGGAATATAAAGCGAGGAAAACTCTGAAAGCTTGAGTAATTCTAATGTATCTGCTTAACCATTTCTTCAGGGACAAACTGTCGTCTTAATTGATTTTGGTAATAAAAACACTATGACCATAGTGTTGACTTGCTTTTATTCTGAAATTCAGTTTTTTCATCATCCCTGAAAACTATTCTTTCTTATTTCATTATGCACTCTTCCTATTCACTTGAAAGCACTTCTTGATGATTCAAATAGCAAACAAAACATTTTCTTCACAGAAGCTCAATTTTGCAAGATGCTGAGGTCACCTTGTGAAGTACAGGGTGACCTCAAATTCCACTGACTCAGTAAGACTGATGCAATGAACACTTTAAAATCAGGTCCGTATTTTCTTGTACACCCATTATCTGCTGTTGTATAGAAGTAGATATGCAACACACACATACGTATTTGCTCTGGTTTTTAATATATATACAAACATATATGAAAAATGAGATTTTCACATTCTGTTGATGACCTTGTATCATTTCAAAACACCACAAGAAGTAACAAATTGCCCATAAAACATCTATTACTTTCTGCCGCTACCATAGCAGCCAGTTCTCCACTCTCACATGTTTGACACTCAGCACCTCTGGTGCCTTCTGTCCTCTAAATGGTCAAAAAGGCAGTTGACCTTATGGCATGTTCAGAGGAATGCATGTGGCTTCTGTTGACCAATGAGCCAGCAGCCCAAGTTCTGCAGGACCCACACCACCTTCTTGTAAACTAGGAATACTTTCCCTCAAAATTTCTCAATGATCATTGTCACTTTTTGTATTTTCCAGGTAAATTCCTGTTAAACTATTCATAGGGGAACAGTGCAGCCAGTAGATGTAAAAGAAGTGGGACAAAGAAACTGCCAATAGTGCTACTGGGAGCTGTGCATTTGGTCCAAACCAGACATTTTAAAAATTAAAAAAACCTCACCACCCTTGGTAACATTATTATTGGGGTTTGAACCTCTCTGCTCTTAGAATCCATTTGGAAGAAATAATGTGCACAGCTATAACTTTTGCCATCAGCAGCTGTTCCTTCCCACTTTGTGTACACTTCCATAGATAATACATCATGGAGCTGATGATTTTTCTGTTCAAGCTCATTGTTCCAAATGAGCCTGGACCCACGTGTGGGAGAACCACCAATGACACGTGGCCACCATCGCTGCCTCTTTCCCATTTTTAGGCGGCTCTGACTGGGTTGTACCTACATCTCAGCAGACCCTGGCTGCTGGCACAGCATGTAAGGGCAATTTAGCACCCAAATCACTTGCATGGGATTTCAAAGCATGCATCAGTCCAATCACCTCTTCTCTCTCCTCAAGAATTGAGGGAGACCTGAGGGTGGTTTAATCCCACACCTGATACACCACCTTTCTGGACACAGTTACGTCAGCCTGCCCTCCACTGCTCTCAAGCATCTCATCCCCTCTTCTCTCTCTCTCCCGTGACAGAGATTACAACCACTTCTGAACAGCAATCTCAGCCTCTCCTTTGAACCTTTTCATCCCACGTTGGCCCAGGTCCAAGAAAACAGTGTGCACAGCAAGCTCTTGCCAGGGCATCTCGTTTTGGCTGAACAGGTTAGGTACCATTCACACAAGCAGCTGAGCCCGCAGCCGTGAAGGGGCAGATACCCTGGCAGGCAGAAGCGACAAGCCCTTCCAGCAGCATGATTGCATCCAGCTAGGGTGTGTGACCAGGTCTGAAGCACCAGTTTTAGAGGCACTGGCAGCATGTCTGGCCATAAACAAACACTGACTCAAATCTTGCTGGTCTGTATGTAGGTTTTGCAATCACAGTTTATGCATCTGGCTGGAAATACAGTTTCAAGTTTACACAGATGCCTGGGGTCATACCTAGCTGGGTAACACCATTATGAGGCTTTTTGACTCTCAAAAAAACAGAGCTAAGTGCAGCACCCTAAACCTATTCTAGCATTGCACACTCACTGTTTCACTCAAATCGACTTGCATTTGCAGAGTTTCAGTCCTCACCAGGTGCCCAGCTGTCCTGTGACTGCAACTGGAAATGGTGCTGTGGGAAAGAGCATTCAAGGCTGCTGCCTGAGTCAAGAGAGACATGGCAGTATCCCCGAGACTGTGGTTTTCTTGGCTTTAGATGAGCTAAGTTACCTCCTCATGGACAGAGCAAGGTGATCCAACTCTCCCTCTCTGTTTACACCCAGTCTGTTGGGCCTTTCCCTTAGATCCCTGATGAAGCATCTAAACTGTTTTCCCTTTGCTCTGCAAAAGAATCAAGGGGCTGGTGGATTAGCTTTAATGGTATGAATGATCCCACATGTTTGGGACCGTATTTTACATGTGACTGAGAACAGAATAACTTGTTTAATCAATGCATCAAGCTCCTTTGTTTGATTAAACTTCTCTTTGCCTCTAGGCTGTTTTACAGCAACAGTTTTATCGCAGAAAATTGAGCAATGTGTTCTGCAGTTCCCAGGATTATTCAAGTTATCCTTTGGCATACTGGACACTGACATGTCCTGGAGTGTGGGTGAGAAGCAGAGCTAGCGGTTAGGTGAAATACCCCTGTCCAGCTTCTGCCACATAATATACCTCAAAGCAGGCGAGAGGAGGCAATCCCTTCTGCCAGGCTAGCGTAGGGGTTTGTGCAGAAGCTCCCCATCATGGAGAAGTCGATGGGTGGAGGAGCCCCTGCTGGGGTGCCAGGGAGCTGAATGTGAGGAGTTAACGGAGGGGAAGGCAGGAGGGGCCACCCTGGAACAAAGAGGTGGGAAGCAGAACATGCCTTTGAGCCCGAGGGGCTGAGCAATTACATTTGGCAGTGTGCTTCTGAGGCAGCTTTTTTTCTTGCTGCCCTGGGAATACAGTAAGAGCTGCCTGTTAGGAAAATATCAGATAAGAATTCCATGTAATTTCCAGTCCCTGAACAAGTGAACAACATAAGATAAGTGTTTCCTCAGGCTTCTATTTGATTTCTGTGGAAATCCATATGTGCTTAAAGGCCACCCACGTCACACCAATGCATACCTGTTGTTAAACTGATATTCTGTATGAAAGCAAAGTGATAAATCCTTCATTTCACACACAGGTCATGAGCTGGATATTACAAGAAGCCTCCCTGCAGCTGGCTGTTGTGCACCACAACCAGTCGGACAGCCAGACCTGAACAGCCTACCAGTGATGCTCAGTGAGATCCTCCAACTCCTCCCTGCTGCCTGCCATGTCCTCTGTGCAGTCATTTGCCTCCTTAACTGAGAAACACCAGGAGGGATGGAAGAAGCCCTGATTGCATTTCAAGGGGAAGGAGAGGGCAGATGTGAGAGTTCCTGTGGTCCTTATCCACTGCCTCTCTCCAGCTCACATGCGCCATTTACATACCTGGCCTTAAACACATACTGCCTCCACACACAACACCTAACATGGTGCAGAAAGAGCAGCTACTTCTAAGATTAGGCTAAGCAAAGCTTGTTCTTAGCACTGCGCTGAGCAACATCTATAGCATCTTTGCTACCCAGACCAGGCTGCATGAGGGCTCTTGACACACCAAGGCACACCTGAGACTGGGTTTCGGGCCAACTAGGTAGACTGGCTTGCACCTGCATTTTTCAAGTCTACATCCTCCGAGTAGTTTCGTTATATTGTGGACCTTGGAACAGAATCTCCTTGGTTTCCTTCCCAGGGAAACCAGCTGCCTTGCTTCAGGCTGGAACTGAGGAACAGGCTAACAGGGACAAAGCAGAAAGGCTGAGGGGGGCTGGAGCAAAACTGGGACCCGATGAATTTGACATGACATGTGGTGAGGTGTGTGCGCAGTAATTCCAGCTCTATCAGAGTAACTAATTAACCTGGTTTCTGTGCTTTGCTGATGTGGCTGTATTGGTTTGGGGAAGCTTAAGCAGCTCTATCGTCAGTTTTATTTTGCAGTGACAATGCTTTTCAGTGCACAGAAACTGGATACTTTCCAGGCATGTTGCTTTAGCATGCCCCCTGGCCAGCTGCAGCCTCCTCTTCCATCACTTGAAGAGAAGACCCAGCATTTTTCCAAAGACCTCTTTTCAGTCCTTTCAAGTTGTTGATACTTTCAAATTTTTTTATTCGATTCGAAAAATAAATTTTATTCCTTGCTATTCTTATTTATTTTATATATTATTATGTATAACTTTATGAAATAAATTGCTAGATATTTAGTAAATTATTTTTATTTGGTTTAATTTTAAACCTTTTTTTGTTTTAAAAAAATTTCCATGTGCTGAAGGAGTGGATGGGGGAGGAAAATAAAGACTCCTTCATCTTGCTATGTTTGCTAACCTATAGTTTTAATACAACATCCTGGCTTTGAAGACCAAGTAACATATACAAATATGACAGCTTCATTATTGGCCACTACTCTTCTTTTTGGAGAATCATGCATTCCTTCATCCAGGGCCCTACTGTTAGCTAAGAAATAACATCATACTCCTCAGAACAAAGGGCAAAATGGCACTGGCAGTATTTTTTATGGAGAAGTTGGAAATATATGTGGAAACATATCTCCCAGCTGCACATCTTACCTGAAGAGACCAATCCATACAGGTGACGACACGATGCTTTGACCAGTGCTCATCATAAAATTGACGGTTAAAAGAAAGGTTGGCTCCTGCTTGAACATCTCTGTGTGAATTCAAACAAAATTACATTTTTTGAAGTACTAAGGTTCAAATGCTGTGAAAAGCAATGCAAAATTTTCTGACTACTCAAAACCCTGCCCAACCTGGGGAAGTCTGCCGCCTTGATTTAATTAATCTCACCAACTCTTTTGCTGATAATGAATCTGCACCAAAGAACAAATTTTATATCTGTTTCACAAAAATACATTTCTTAATTTCCCACTGCCTTCCTGATTCTTCTGAGTCACCCTGGGCCATGTCTGTGACGTTTGCTTCTCAGGAGCAAACCTGGTCCTAGCATTCAGCTCCCCCCTTTTCTGAATCTTCACCTCCAAGCTATAACCAAATCTTTCTTATTTATGACTCCTGAAATCTTAAAGGTACAGCACCTCCTCCCAGTGGTGGAGATGGCAGATGCCTTCTGGCACCATTAGGATGGGCTGAAGCTTAGCGCTGGTCCAAGGCTGCCACCCGGATGCATTTAGCCGGTCCACAGGCGTGATGCTCTAGAGTAACATCCAGTAAGGAACTTCAGTGTGACACAGCTACTGATTTGTCATGAGGCTTCAATGGATATGCAGTAGTTGAAACCTATAAACTTCCTCTCGTAACGAGTTTTGCTGCTTCTTCTCCCCTACCAGTTGCTGAATACACAACCTGTCACCTCTTGTCTTATGTGTTTAGATTGCAAACACTTTGGGAGACCATCATTTTCATCCACACAATGCATAGCACAGTGGGATCCATTACAGACCTGAGGCAGTAGTAGAATATAAACAACAGTAATTTGAATTTGTAAAAATGTCATGATATAAGCACACAGATGTATGATACTGGAATGTATACATGCACATACATATACATGTGTATACACACATTTATCTATTTCAATTATTTCTTCAGAATTTGAAATTTCATCCCCAAAATGAATCAAAAAATTAAACCACCTGAATAATATGTCAATCCCCCTCCCCAAACCCCAGAGCAGTAAGGCATGAAGCTATTTTACAAAATAATTTGGGCTTACAAAGTGACCCAAGCCTTCACAAAGAGACTTTAACCTTTTCTTAACTATAAAAATCTTTAATATAGTTTTAAAATTAAGGCTTCCTGGCATTGGAATTCTTTTTATAAAGCTTAATTTACAAAAGCAAAAAAACCCCGAACTGACCCATCTTTCTCTTCTACATCTCTGCCACTGTAGTCAAAGAAGATGTCTGAATCTTCAGCCAAAGCTCGCTCAATTACACGTATTGTCCGGTCAAAAAATATCAGGAATTCTTCTGAATGGAGAACTTGCTGTTTTTCTTCTTCTGTCAGTTCTCTAGGAGGAGCTTGGAAAATGAAAAGATGTAGTTGAGAGCATGACTTTTCATCCCTTTTCCAATGAATCAACATCTTCAGTGGGGTTTTTTTGACATGAAAGCTTGCTGTAGCAATGTCAGGACAAAAATCAAAGCTTTACTCTGAAAATCATGACTAAGAATTTTTTAGTCTATCTAAACATACTCCTGTATATTCCCAGGATGTAGCATTTACATAGAAGAGATCCTATATCTTTTATATTTATTATTCTGAAATGGAAAATACTTAAACCCCCCAAATTAAATAAACTCAGTGTTCCTATTTCAGGAAATGGCTCTGACTGACATTTTAGGCAATACCTAACTCAAAAAAAGCAGAACACTTATGTAACAAGGGACCTGTCAGAGGAGCCAAAGATAAAATAATCTTCTTAACTTATACTATAGTTCCTTGTATTCAAAGGGCTCACATAATATCTCCCTTCACTTCTTTTCTCCTTGGTGTCACCGATAAAGTCAATCTTTGTTGTAGAGCTTTTGCAAAGCAATGAAGTAAATAACCAAAGATATTCTCTGAGGCATCAAAATCAAAAGCAACCAACCGAACAACAGCTTCCTTAAGGCAGATTTATTCCTTGCAGAGGAATCCCAAGAGCCAGAGCAACAAATGTCACTGAGCTGTGGCCAAAGCTGCCCTGGGAGGGGGTAGGAAGTGCCTCGGGCTCTGGGCTTTGGTAACTCACATCTCCTGGCACTGGTCAGGATAGCCTGGCCCCTGCAAGACGAAGTTGCTCCTTTACACATACACAGAGATGCTACACCTTTACTTCCAAACCAGTATTTCCAGTATGGCCCTTCATTTGAAAAATACTATCTTTGCAGGATGCACCAATGCTACGTATCTATCAGTTTAATGACCTATTGGCAAATTCCAACTCAAACGTGAGCATCAGAGGGAAAGGAAATTGGATGTTGCTATTGCTATGGTGCAAAACTCTGTTTTCAATTACACTAGCAGGGTCATATTGATATTGTGGAAATGTTGTATATTAATTATGCCTTTGCCCACATGTGCTTTTAAGCCACCATTTTAAGTTATATTTCAGAACTGTACTTCAAAAAAATGACATTAGAATCTTCACAGTTACACCAAACCAACCATGCAACTAGCTTAAATTCCCTCAGCATGAAAGCTCTATTGACATCATGGGAATTACGCTAACAGAGAATTTTGTTCCAAATTTATAATTAGGTACACAAACAACATATCATAAACAGATTTACTGCAAAATTACAGAGACTTGTACTTAGAGTTTAACTGTTGGTCAAATGTCTCTCTGCATTTGGCTTCACATTACAGATTTGAGGTGTTTACTTGTGAAAATGACCTTGCAGTCTCTCTAGGCCATACTGGGTTAAAACACCAGCAGTCAAGAAAGATAATTCAGCATGGTGCCTCAGAGAACACGCAGTATATATCAACATTTAGCTCCAAGCCCTGTCATCCATATCAATGTTTAATTAAACAACTGACAGTTTAAAGTTGCAGTTTGAAACGATTTTCCAGTTGCTGTGTCAGGCCACACAGATACTTTCAGCTATAAGGGGGATTTAGCCCTTGCTCATGGTCTGATTTTCCCATGGTTCACACTAGAGTCGTGAGCTCCGGTGCCCAAGAATGACGCCACCACCAGCCCCAGAGGCAAGCATGGATTGAAAGGCGCAACAGTAGGCAGAGGTAGTGACATGGTCAGCATTAGTACAGTACTCAGCTCCTTCAGTTTTCAGTGTACTTGCTTTCAGAGCACTCCCTGTGGTTGGGAGAGGCTGTTATCACCATGCTTAGGTTTGCCTCAACTGGTCAGAGTTAGCTCTGAAAGACAAAAATCTCTGCACTACACCTGGGCTAAATATAGAGAGCAGGAAAAATGCAAAAGATGGAGGAGTAATTTGGCCCTCAGGAGACAAAGCAGCTGAGAAGTTAGAAACTTGAGCCTTTGATGATCTCCTATGGCCTTGGCCCTATGCCTCCTACCACCAGGTTAGAGGTCCCCGTGGAGCTCCACACATCCAGAGAATATCTACATTCCCCCCTCACAGTCCCCCTGAGTAGCAGAGCGACAATTCCCAAGGCAGGAGCACAATTTGCCTCTAAGTGCTTTAGACAGAAGCAACGCATGTGATAAAAAAAAGAATGACTAGCAAAAAGTACAGGTTGACCTATTGCAGCATCCACTGCTGAATAGTAATTGGCACTAAGGGAACTCATCTGGCAAGGAAGCCTGTAATGAGGCAATATCCCACTGTCACCACTAAAGCATCGCTTTCCGAGAATCAAAGACAACAAGCATGACAATGCAGCGAAATGGCATAAAAGGGGAGAAAATAACTGCAAGGCAACTGGAAAACTCATTGTAAACTGCTCCAAATGGTAAAAATTATTTGCTAAATCAAATCCTCTCTACAGCTTGGAAATATAAATTTATTACTCAGTCATTTGCCAACTACAACTGGCAAAGAAAATACAACCAAAAATCAATAGAAAGGGAAAAGGCAAAAAATAAACACCTTTGGAGCTGTGGGGTGTTCACCAGCAATGGAGACACACATGATTGCAGTTCTACCTCAGCAAAATCTCCCTTGCAGTTAGCAATGATCTGTGGGAGGCCAGCAGTCTATTAAACCCTCTTCGGCATCAGAAACACCTTGGCTAAAGTTTGTAGGGCATAAATCAGCTTACCTCATTCATCTGACTGACACACCAGATGCCCCCTGGCGATATTAAGCTTCATATTTTAACCTTATTTTCTTCTTTCATTCGGCTGCCTCTGAAGTTTTATTTGAGGCAATCTCTTCTTACAAGAATGTTAACATCATTACTTTTTCCAGTGTAAAACATTGCTGCAACTATTGAAAATACATGAAGTATAAGCAAAAAACCCAAACCAGACTTGTTCTTTCAAATACGAAGAGTTTCTAACCATTTATCTTTCAGAGCCACTTCCATTTTCCCCTTGTTCCTTGTCCCTGTCTGTCCATTACCTCGAATAAAATAAAAAGAATCGGTGTAATTTTCTGCAATTTTTCTTCCTATCTGGGAGCTTACAGTTACTTTGATCTCAGCTTTCAAGAGACACAGGCTCTCTTCAAGGAAAACTCTGAAAAACATAAGTAGCTGATCAAAGTATTTTTTGTTTTGTTTTGTCACGGAGACCTGTGTGATGTGACAATATCTTCAGAAATTCCCTGTAAGAATACAGCATTTGCCTTCAAGTATCTGCTCTGGCATAAAAACCAAACAAACCACATCTAACCTTCTGTGTCTAACAAAGCCTAGTGTGATGCTTAGCTTACCAGTGCTAAAAGTTACCTGCTTATTGCCTGGAGTGCAATGAAAGCTCTTGTAAAGGAAGACCTATACTTTGCTCTTGTTTCTATACCGTGGTTTCGTAACAAACTGTTGTGGCTGTGATCTGCTTCCCGCCTGTAGGAGCTGAACCCACCCCTGGCCCCGTTCAGCTCATGGCAAGATGACCCATAGTGAGGCCACCATGTTCTGCCTAACAGGGCCACTGGACACCCTGTTTGTCCATGGACCCACTGAAACATTGATAGGATCACGCACCCACAAGTAGAGTGCTGTCCGGGTAGCTCTGAGGTTTATGAGGACAACAACATGTATCAAAGAAGCCCTGTACTCATGTTAACATATAATACTGTACCAAATAAAATGGAATTTACATTTAAAATTAAAACACTGTGCAGTTAGATACGCATGGAGGACACCGCAGGGGAAGAAAATGCGAGATATATCTGTAATGAAAGACACTGTACACTTGGGCATGAGCAAAAACGTCTAGAACATATAACAAAAATTGAACATGATACGGAAACAACAGATTTGTTCAACACTTATTTCTGAAAAATAAGAGAATTTTATTATTTCACGTGATTTAACATGATCCTCTGAAATACTATATTTCACATCGAGTCTCTTGCCCACAAATGTCTTTGGACAAAACAAAAAAATATTCATGTTAAAATATTTCCTTGGGTCTTTAGGAACTAAGATAAAAAATGCTGCAGACTTGTTCTTATCTGGCAGAAGTGGGTTTGTAATACATATAAATAGTTATGATAACAGTACAGGATCAAATTCACAAATATTTAAAAACCAGGATCTGAGTCTTCTCCCAAGGGAGGCAAAAAGATATTTTTAAAAGAAACCCAAAACAACAAAACAAAAAAAGACCCACATTTAAATAAGTATAATAGAATATAAAAAATATTCTCCCGGAACCTCAGCAATTGTAAAAACCTGACAAAAGAAATTAAGTCCATTAAAGGCAAAAAAAGAAAAAAAAAGAAAAAGAGTAAGTGAATGAAAGAAAGGGCAAACTAATAAAAACAGTAAAGCAGGAAGCAGCCTTGTTATGAGCCCAGAGATATAACGAGAGACAGAAGGAGATTAGTAAAACCCTTTTAAGAGCTGTGTTATTTCTTTCAGCATGTATTTAAACCCATGTAAACTGTAGATGTGTTGAAGACCGAGGATGGTAGAAACGTACAGCATGAGAACTGCAAGGTGCTAAGGGGCTCTCAGCAGCTTTTAGTCCTTGTCTGTTGATAGCCCCTGGTGCTCTCGTTTGTCTCGTGCTTCTCATTTTTATGTCAGCCTTGATAAGTGCTGTATCCTGGTTTGGTATGTGCCATATCCTGGTTTGGCATGTGCTGTATCCTGGTTCTGTCAGGTTTAAAATGCAAGTCCCTGTGTGGCACAATTGCTGAACATTTAAAGGGAGACTTTGAGGTGCTTTTAGAGATTTTTTCAGTTCTGGAGTAGCAGGGCCCAGAGCCTTAAATCTGAAGCTGTGTCAGGCAGGGCTGTTCCCACTGACCATGCTTCTCCAGGGGCTGTGCTGAGCCACGTCCCTGAGCATGCCATCAGGATGGGTCAGCACACCCGAGCTCACTGTGGTGTTGGTGGAGTGAAACGGAGGTTATTACAAAGCTGGCAACCTTGTCCTGCTTCTCCAATACTGATGCCTGAGCTGGTGAGAGCTAAACCATCTCCCCTGCTGCAGCCTGCTAAATGGACACCCAAGCCCCATGCACAAGGCCAGGGTGAGAGGGGGGCACAGCAGTACTTTGAAGCTGCAGATCGCAGCCTCCCCCATCACAGCCTCTCATGCAAGTTTCTGTGGATATATCCACAGCTTCAGATAAATGCAGGTTGAGGCCCTTTTTCAAGACCCAGCCTGTCCCACTGTTCATGTGGTTTCTACTGACACAAAGAGGCACCTTAGGTGGAGCTCCTGAGCTCTCTGGCAGTGGAAAGCCCCAACCCACTTGATGCCACAGTTTGGGACCAGGCTCTTGTTTACATGGTCAGGAGAGGCTGGGAACAGGCAGAGCCCAACACAGTTCACCAGCAGGTATCCCACACTCAGCTCTTCCAAGGATGGTGGGGACACCATGCACATGAGACATGGATGACAACAGGCAGACCCGTAGAAGAAACATGGCTTCATATGCTTCAAACAGTCAACAAGCCAGGTCTTCACCTCCCATTCCAGAAACACTTTGGGGGGCTTGAGCTGCTCCTCTGTCCTTAGCACCTCCACAGCACTGAAGTGCCACTGGAGGTGTTGCGCCAGGCAGGCTGCCCTGTTGCAGGTGCACTGTGTACCTTATGGTGGATGCTGAGACAGGTCCAGAACTAAAGTCAGACCCTGCAAACAGCCGTGCCTGCTGAATAATCCCACCAAACTCCACAGAGACCAACCTCGGGTGTGCAGGGGGAAGACGAGGAAATTAAGCATGCAATAAATGTCTGTAGAATTAAATTGGACTACCTATAAACCACAGAGAAAAAAAAAATCACATTTCCTCTTAAAATACCATTATAAAAATAGAACACTCCTGTCCTGTTGGCTTGGGGAGAGGGAGACTGAACAGACTGGATCCAAGCTTTATTTTTCATCCTGACCTATTTCTGAGTTATGCTTATGAAAAAATTGTCTGCCTTTCTCTCCCTGCACTTCTCTCCCATCTTTTTTTTTTTTTTTTCTTACACTCCTATAACTCAAAAAAGGCCACGCTGATTTTTTTAAATCTGTTAAAAAATGTGCTCCCTGAGCTGAAACCAAATTTCAGCCCAGAGCAAATTTTTACGGCTGGGTTATAAATCCCTGAAAAACAGGATTCATAATGGAAGTGCTGACACAGCCTTAACTACTATATAGCAGTGTGAATGGCGCCACTATAATATCTATTAGAGATTCTTTAAAAAGTTTGCAAAATATTGTCTTGCCTTGCAGAGAAAAAGAAGCCAGAGTACTTAATGCCAACATAAACATGCTTTTAACCCATTATGTGCTAATTTGCAGAAAAGCTATTAATTCTGAGTAGGCACACAGCGCGCAGCACCGACAGGAAATGTTCTTCTAAACTCCTGTTTGACTTGTAACATGGTTTTAATCACTTCCATGAAACACAAACTATGGCTTCAAACTGAATGTAGCTCAGAACATGAGAAGGGTGATTACAACAGAGAGGAAAACAGGATTTTGTTGGCGAAAGGGCTAAAGCCAACAGACACCAAATGCTAAAAAATGGGACTCCATTCCCTGTCAATTTGGGGACTACTGCTTCATTTGATTCACAGCATTTAATGCCAGTCATCAGCATACCACTATTTTATCTGTCACAACATGTATTGCAGGTCAAGTTCACTTTCTATCAGGCAATGAGCATGCTTCCTTGAACCCAGTCAAGTGTTAGCACCTCACAAAGCTGGTTCTGCTAAAACAAGCTCTGCCTTGCTTTTACAGCCTGCAGTTTGTGTGTCTCAGACTCGTGCTAAACTAGCCCACTTGATCTATCTCCTGTTTGGGGGGGGGTGGTGGTGGTGGTGGTGGTGTCTGCTAGGCAGGGAAAGGGAGCACTGCCCCAAGACTAAAACATATCAAAGAAATACGGCAGTGTCACTTTGTCAGCAAAGTACCAAAAAGTCTAACTTGAAAACCCAAGAAAAAGTGAAATAAATGAGTTCAGGAACATACTTAGATTTTTTTCTTCTTCATACAGGAGTTTGTGCTTTCTCCCCAGGTATAAGCAGTAGCATTACTGTTATGTAGAAATAAATGGGGGTGGGATCAGCTGTAATCTGAATACTAGAGGGACATTCAGCAACTCATGACAGTGCTTATGCACTGGTTGCAGTGATATCATTTTTATGGCTTCCTGTCATCATCAGTAGAAGAAATACTGTTAGGTCCAGTGACTGCTAGAGCTGACTCCACAGTTTTGGAAGGAAGGGTAATTTTCAGGAAAAAGTAAGTTTTTCTATGTTACCATGTTTCTTGCTTATGTCTTCATTTCTGCCTTTGCAGACTCTTGTGTGACTCCTGTTCCTGCTGTCATTGCTGCTTCCCTCTGCCCAAGGCAGTGGTGGCTGGGGGCAGTGGGAGAAGCAAAAGGATGAGGAGTGGGAGGAGTAAGCTCCCCACTCTGTGTTTCTGCAAGGACCTAATGAGCAATGGATACTGCAGTATTTATGGCATGGGTGATTTCTATGAAGCTCTTAAGAGGGAAGAAAGATCAATTTGTAATCAAAACACAATGGCTGGTACTGCAACTCACTTTAGCGTGTGAGGATAGCTAATGCGGGCACTATACACCAGACTTAGGTTTTCTGGACACTGTTCTAAATCATGTCAGGCTCCTCTGGATGAGAAAGGAGCATCCACTGCTGTGTTCACAGTTAACAATTTCATGGGCTTCTCTGTAAATGTCTCTGTATTTTTCCCCTAGTGAGATTATCTTGTTATAAACAAAGCCAATCACAGAATCATCCTGATAACATCACCGTAGCAAGAAGTGACTTAGGCCCTACCTGAGGAAGTAAGTTACTTTTCAAGAGGGTAAACATCTTTGTGAGCAGTTCTGGCAATACAGCACTAAGAAAAGCTGGAGAAGAAACTTATTTCGTCTCACAGTGGAGTTGTTATTTCAACTCTTTTCTCCTGCTCCACACTGGGGTTAGCATTGACTGTTCAAAGCAACACACCGGAAGAGTCAACACACTAGTAAGTTCCCAGATGAGGAAGACCAAATTTCACATCCCTCTTCTAATTACAAAAGACAGAACGGGTCCAAGAGAAGCAAATGAGAGGCACCCAGCATATCCACCGTGTCCAGTGCTGACATGCACAACCTCACAACTTTGGCAAGTGTCTCTTGTCTGCACCAGAAGGAAGTAGTAGCCTGAATTTTTTGTCTTTTGTAACCCTGGAGAGTGTCTCAATCCAGAGGAATGGACAGAAAGGCTGGACCTGTCTGGCTTTGGTTTTGACCTTAAGTTCCTTTGGGGCAGCTCCCACAAAAAGTTTTCATTTTGACAGTCAACATTTTTCATTGAAATGGTTTTCTGCTGGAAGATTCCTAACCACCACTAGGTTTAACTTTGCCCCTCTCAAGCAAGTAAACAGTTATGGGCTCTAAGTACCCATGGAGACCAACCAACTTTATGGAGCTGCTGGAATGCCTGGCATTCGCATTTTAAATCTTTCATGTAAGCAGGCTATTTGAGCCAGAGGACAAGTAAGCAGCAGTCCTGGAATCCAAGAATCTCTACTTTGTTCCCAAATTATGAGGACATGTAGCTTCTTCTAAACAGCTGAAGTCTTGTGCCTTTCACAAACTTCTCAGACCTACCAACTGAGTTGCTGGGATACAATTTTCTGCTTTTATTCCACTCACATGTTTTTGAATCAATAAAACTGGTGACTGTCTTGATTTCGCAGTGTTCTCAGTAATGGAAAATACCTATGAGAATAACTATTTGCAGGACTCAGTCCTTTAAAGCTGTAACAAAATCCTTCTCATTTTTAAAAGTACCTTCTTTCACTTCCTGCTTCTGATCTTGATTTTCTGTCTCCAAGTCATCCTGTGCTTTTGGTTCCACCATCTCTTCATCATCTTCATCCTCTGAAAAGAAAGGAAGAAAAAAATTTGTGAGATTCTCCTCTTTAAGGGGGATGTATCTTATCTCCTCTTTAAGGGGGATTGTGTATCTTATGACTATAAACTGGCAGTAAACATAGGTAAAGCAAAGTGAACAATAAATGTAAACATCTACATTTATACTCAGAGCAAAACTCTCAGACATTTCCCCCCTGACTGCAAGACAATATGCTAAACACAGGGCACCTGCCACTTCAGCTCCCTGCAGCAACTTCCCATCTCAGATGTTGGCTGAGTATCTCCCTGACCTTGGAGATGACTTCTTGGATGGCATAAGAACAGATGCAAGCATGTTTCAGCCTGGCAGCTATTCCACAGTTAGGACACCTGCTATCCAGATACCTCATTTCCATTTCAAGTCTCACCAGATTAATTTGTCTTTTGACCTACTGGAAAGGGTTAAATAGAAATCTGACCTCGGGTCAGATGCCACTAGCAAGCAAACAAGCATGGTACAGTTCTGAAAAGTCATCACCATCAACTGGGGGAACACAGCAACCAAAAGTGGCATTTGGAGTTTAAGAACCATTCTTGCATTAATACGAATTTAATGAACACTAAAATTTGACACATGTCAGTTACTACTGCCAGATGTTTTAATGACCTTTTCTGACCTATGCAAATGCCTCTTTCCCTTCCCCTCTCTCCCCACACTCACATGTTCTCATTTTATTCAGGAGGGCAAACTATTCATTCCTTGATGTCTGTCTGAAGTTACAGGGGTTCTGATTGTCCAGACCAAAACATAATACAAATAGAGCTGGAAAGACAGTGATGCACCAAAATGGCTCAAAGCCTACCTAACCCTCATTACTTGTTCCCAGCGACAGCAATGTGATCTATTCTCCAGTGCCCAGGGCCGGCACTCAACCCACTCACATTTCTGAGAGGGTAGGGATGCTCAGCCTTCTATATTCAGTGAACTACAAAGACTGAAAATAGAGCTGGTCCTAAAAGAGTGAGTTACAGTAATTAACAATTAGGATGAGCAGATCTGTAGGCTATGAAGGAAATATTTTGGAGTGATTCTGGAGCTTGACGTACCTTCAAGGCATAGCAAGCACCACTGGTGCCTCGGGTTGGTCCATCACATGAGAGAACATGTGTTGTCCTGGCCCTGGGGCAGTTAGCTGTCAGCAAAACCACTACAGTTCCTTCAGGGCTTTCTAAGCAATATGCATGTTACCACATGGTTCCTCATGACATGGCACTTCTCCAGGCACACTCCCTGCTCTACCACTGCCACGCTAACATGGCCTGGAAGCAGGCAGGGGGCAACATGTCATGCTTCTTCAACTGCTCGGCTACTGGCACCTTCTCCTGCAAAGGCTTGCTGAAATCAGTCCTGGCTTCTTGGGGATATGTTGGTGCTGACAGGTTGCATTTAGCCAACAGTAACACACAGCTGTATTTTGTCTTCAGTAATATAATAGACACCATACTATTCTCACCATATTGCCTACCCTAGGACTTCTCCCCCCAGAAGCCCACGGAGTGCATGTTGCTGGCTGACATTTTGGCTAGAGAGCATGGCTTAGCCATGGCTCAGCATGGATAGATAAGTTTTTCTCTCTTGGGAAAATGAGGAAATCTTGACATAAGATATGCCATAGCTCTCCCTACTGCTAGTGACTGCAATGAGGAGAAAGGGAAAGCTTGGCTCTTCAGCTGTCAGAGCTGAGGGATAACCATGTGCTCCCCAGGCTGGGAAGGAAGGAGGAATCCAGCATGGATAGAGAGGCATCTCCAGAATTAAAAGCATTACTAACAAATGCTACTCTTTATTAGGGACTTTTCAGATCATGAAACTCAGAATGGGGAAAAGGTAGGGTATTCATGATGCCTCACTTGACAATTACGTTTCCCTAGGTACCCTGTATAGAAGGGCTAGAGAGAAGCCTCTTTTAGAGAGCAAGACAAGGTGTTTCAGTTCAGCAGAGTAAACACATTCCTCTGTCCACTGGCTAAAAGACAGATAACATCCAATGAAGTCAGCAGAGAGTCAGTGAGAAAAGCTCTCTCTCCTGCTGTACACACATAGGAGGGGTAAAAAAAGCTCCTGCTGCCATCAGTCTGTGGCACTAGTGGAGATGGGGATGTATGAAAGAGAGAGGCACTCACAGTTTCAAAGAACAGATGAGAAGTGTGAGAAGGGTGAGGAGTGACCAGCGCAGCAGGGAGTGAATACTCTGCTAACCTCAGGTACATACGCACACACAGATAGGATCACAATGGTGTACAGATATATGCACGCAGACATGCTTATGGTAGATACCTAATGAAGCCAACTCCCACAAGAGTTTTGTGAGTCTTGCATTACGAGTTTTCATTCCCTAGAGCACTAGCTCTTGGAGCCAGCTGTTTACATATGGATTTCAGCTTCCATTTTTAACCTGTTTTCAACCTGTCAGCTTGTGAAAGGAAGTTTCAGGAGGGCAAGGGTTTCAGAAAACTTGCAGGCAGCAAACAAAATATAAACCAATATTTTTAAGGTAGCACGCTATGCTTTTTTAATGCCTACTTGTAATTTAGTAATGGATAGGGATGATGTAGCAAATGTAGAACCTGAGACTGAAGTCAAGCAAATTTATCCCTGTCCCCTAGAAGTTCCTGATCCCCTGATTTTGTGTTTCAAATTGTTTGCCTGCCTTTAGCCCATTCCTGCTTCTAAAGCAGAGTAGGAATGAATGGCTGACGCACAGCTGGAGCAGAGGGATGTACTGATACTTTGGCACCTATTAAGGTAGAGATCTTCTTTGCTTCCCTTCCTTCCTTTTCTGCAAACAATCAGAAACAAGTTTCCATAGATTCCTCTAGACTTAATTGCAGCAGGAAAAATAAGTAAAGGCTATTACAACACATGCCATGCCTTTTTCCAAGGGCACACACACCAATAAATTCGTTTTACTGAGAAGGCAGTGCAAGAGTTTTTAGCAGATTAGACACAGTTCAGATGTCCTTATTTATTTACAGAGAAATGTATACACATACACAGAGAAAGTCAGCTAAAAGAATGATAGGGTTGTGAGCCAAATGCTAAAATGCTAGCAAATGCCAGAATTTGGATTGCCTGGGCACGATTAGCTCCTTCCCCCTCCCCACGTGTAGGCATGATGACATCATTCTGGAATTTCCTCCCTCTTGAGTGCTTGGCCTCATTTTCTGGGTGCTCAACAAGAGACACCTGGGGCCTGAAATGCAGAAGTGCTGAGAGCTGAAGTCAACCGGCCCTGTGCTTTGAGTGGAGAAAGTGCTAGAGAAATGCTACGTGTGCAAAAATTCCCACATCTCTTTTTCAGTTTTCACTGAAAGTTGTCATTCTGACATTTTTGTCCTTTCCCCCCCTGTCCTTCACTGCTTTTGCATGATGGCAATAATATTGTGAAGATAATAGCATTCTCACCATGCACAGATGTGTTGCAGATACATTCATCAGCATTTAGGGCCCATTAAGATGCTCTCATGGGAGCAACAGAGAAACAAAAGCTTGGAAGGGGATTAATGTTTTCTGTGCTCTGTGTAACACTTGGATCATGTGCATTAACATGAGATCTGAAGCCGGAGCACTCAATGGAAACACCGGAAGGGTTAAAAAACTGCCTCCCCATTGACTGGCTGAAACAAGAATCTGTCAAGGAAAAAACCCTAGGTTATCATGTAATTAAAACTGTATCATCATACATATTCAAAAGGACTAATTACGGATGCCCAGGAAACCTGCACTCTGGAATATCCAATGTTGCTTGGCTTTGCAACCTGAATGTTTATTTGCCTTTTTTTTTTTCTTATATTGCGCACTATTAAATGCCAGTGTATGCACACTTACACACGTTCATAGTATATACATTTGCTATTGTGCCTAAGTATGGTTATGCATTTGTACATTTGACTGTGCACATACACATACATTACAGAATAATGGGAAATGCTTCAGCCATTACAGAATAATGGGAAATGCTTCAGCATTCATTTTCTTGTGTTTTACTTAAATGTGACAAAGATAACATTTATTGTACACATATTGGAGAATCTATGAGCATCTACATCGTTATTTGTTTCCACATGTGCCTACTCGTATTGGATGTGCCATTGCACTAATTGTCCAGGGACATGAAGACACTTCTGTAGTTCCCAAACACAAATAGCCTTCTCTATTTAAGAGCATATCTGACACTGGGAAGTTTAGAGGGATAACTTTTTAACTGTTTACATCACAGTAGTAGGAGTCTTCTAGTCACATTTGGCAAACACAGAGTTGCTACTGGCACCAGTGGTGTTACACCCTGTTCAGAAGATCTAAATCAGAACCCAAATGTCTATTAAAGGAACCACATGAAAAAGAGCTAGTAATGAAGAAGTGTATAGCTGCTGTGTAACACTTCTTTGTAGATCTCAAAGGACTTTGCAGGGAGGCCAGTTTTAATATGCCCGTTTACCCTGCAAAAGCTGACGGATAGGCCCACTCACTGTAGATCACTCAGTAGACCAGCAGCTGAATGAAGAATAGAGGGTCGGTCTCAGAGTTTCAGCCTAGAGTCCTGCCCACTAAGGCCACCTTGCCTTTTACTGTAAATAAACAATTCCTCAATGGAAATGATCATTAAATGCTTAGGTTAAAGATGTTTGTCTGCTGAAGCTGGTGGAACCATATGTGGGATTAATATAGACTGAGATAGCTGGACCAAACACCGTTTCTTCTTAATTCAGAGCTTGATGACTCTCCAGGCTCTAGGAGGTGGCCAATCAGTCCTAACAGTGCTTTGTTTAACATGATGAAGTCAAAGCAGAGCAATTGTTCTCAGCTTGTACTTAGCTTTGAACATTCCTGCTTCTGTTCCAGATCAGAAGGGGTCTTGTCTGTCTAAACGCTTGCCTGTTTTTTCCAACTAGAGAAGTTACTCTGATAAAAAAGTATGATCTCTCCCTACAAACCTGCTTTTGTTTAATCTGTGTGTAAACTACTA